TTTTTAATACAAATTTTAATATTGATAACAAAAAAATATACTTATTTAATAGCATTTAAACTATTTTTTTTAATTTCTTTACTAATCATAATAATATTTTGTAAAAAGACACGAAAATAAATAAATTTTTTGTTTAGAGCTGTAAAACTTATAAAAATTAAAATCAAAAACTTTAAATCCCAATCATACTAAATGAAACCTTAATATTTTTTAATTAAATAAAGTAGTTAAAAGTTTGTTTTGTCTTTCTTTTAAAAATTATAATTTTTTTCTTTGTTAAAATAAAAATAAGTTTGTAATTCACCCTATATTTTATTTATTTATTATTATTAAATTAATTTTTTTTCTTTGTTAAAATAAAAATAAGTTTGTAATTCACCCTATATTTTATTTATTTATTATGATTAAATTAATAATTTTATTAAGGCAAAATAAAAAAAAAATTGCACTTAATTGCTTTTAAACATGCTTATTAATCATTTAACAACAAATAACAGTTATTGACTATTGTATAACCAAATGGTTACATAATCAATATTTGTTATTCATTTTTTGCTATCAATTAATAGTCAGCTATTACTTATTATTGGCATCCATTATCCAATATCTGTTATCTGTTATCTGTTATCTATTATTTTCTATCTATTAGTTTTTAACTATTGTAAATAGGCTCTAAGAAAGCTATCTAAAATAATTTTTTTGTACAAAATTGTTAATGGATCAGAATTTTTTTAATTTCATTGAAAAATATATTTATTTTAATTATTCAAAATTTTGCCTCCACCTAATTATTACTGATTACCTAATTATTTCAATTTTATTTTTTCTCTTTAATAATATTAATAAGTTGTTTGATTTGAGGAAATGGAAAGAAATTTTTTTATATGATTAAAACAAATTAGAGGGAATGGGAGGAAAGGGTTTCCCTTATTTTACTTTAATTTGATTTGTGTTTTTGTCTAACCAAACAAGAGAGGGAAGAGAAAGGACATCTCCCTACAGTCCCCTCCCCTCAAATTAAACAAAGAGTAAGTGATTATTACCTTTTTATTTTTATATTAATTTATTAGTAAAAATTTTATATTAATTTAATTAATAAAATTTAATGATTTAATGAAATAATTAAAAGTTTATTTTGTCTTTATTTAAATATAATTTTTTCGTTAAAATAAATATGAGTACGTGATTCACACTTATATATTTTATTTTATTTTATTTATTTTCATATTATTATTTTTATAAAATTAATAATTTTAATAATACAAAAAGGAAAAAATGAACTTAAATGCTTTTCAAAATGCCCTTATTACTCCTTCCGTCCTAAAATAACTTTTTTTTTTACTTTTTCTCCAAATTAAGGATTTAGAGACAATTTATGTATTTATTTATATTATCTTAGGTAAAAGGAAAAAGATAAAGTAAGATTTTTTTGATAAGATAACTAATCAAAATAAATGATAATAATAAGGTTATTAACCATACATTATATAACCATACAATACCATTAATTAATATTTTCTATCTATTATCCTTTATCCACTTTCCATTATCTGCCAATTGCTATCATTTAACAACCACTTGCTACTTGTTGCGTGTTACCCATTGCTTTCTATTTGCTAACCTTTAACTGCTTTCTAAATATGTCCTAAGTCTTCATTAGGTAATGAAGCACATGGTACTTTTTTTCTATAGTACATTTGTTTCCTCAAAAATCCT